ATGTCAGCAATCTGCTGGAAAGTGGCTTCACCCTTGAAGTTGTCCCCCAATAACTGTTTTTGCTCGGCGTACACTCTCCTCTGTGCGTATAAAGAGCAATTTAAAACTCATTTTGGTTATCATCTTTATAAAAAACTAGCTTACTTGTATCTCAGGGTGCATGGCGAGCAAATATACTGTGAATGCCACAGCAGATGTGGTTGTGTCGTGACCCTAGTGAAGAACTTTTATAAATATGTCTGCCTGCATTTCTACTTGCCTAACAAAAACTCACCTCAAACATGAATGTCGAGACCTCCTCGTAGATCTCTTCTTGTGTTAGCGGCTTTCCGTCGATTGTGGACGAGAGCAAAGTGTCCAGGAAGGCCTGCTTTTTGCGAGAGAACTCATTCTCTTCTCCCTCTATTGTTTCAAGTTTGAGTGTTTCTCTACGCTTCGTTATAACCTAGAAGAAAGTACCGGTATAAATAAATCACTCCGTTTTTATTTATTTGTATTGTGTTTTGTACCTCATTTGTGAAGTCTTGCAGAGTTTTCAATACTTTACAGTACTTTGGATAGTCTGGCGCAAATCTGTATAAAATACTCGACCTTTTCAGCGGATGAAATGCGCGCATATTGATGTTGTAACACATGCTGGAGTAGAAAGCAATGCTATTGAGCAACAAGGGCATTTTAATGGGAGGAAAGCTACTCACTCTTTGAATGCCTGCACAAGCTTGTGGTCATGGTTATCCATCGCATTGATATGTACGCCCATCGCGGTATCTATTTGAGGCACAGCAAGTATTATTTGGTGTTAGCATAATCAAGTTTTTTCCACTGTCAACCTACCACAAATCACATCCATCGTTAGGTAGTGCGTCATATCTTGAAAATCGAATATGGAATCATGTTGCGACACTTTCCGCAGTTTTTCAACGAACTTATTCGAATTCTTGTTCATGTCATCGTGAAAATTTTGCAAAATCTTAAAATGAAAGGACGGTGTGATAATCTTGCGATGCGTGTGCCATTTGCGTCCCGTGCTGGTAAGGAGGCCAGTGCCAAGCCATGGATGAAGCATATCGTAAATATCAGATTTATCGATCAGCGATTTGCTGGTCAAGATGTACTGCGGGGACGCAAAGATACAAATGAATTTCCAGCGTGACATTGATACTGTATGGCATATTTACCTCCAAATCTTTTGCGTCTGAGACCACCATATTCCGATAGGGGCCAATGAGCACTCGATAATTGCCATGATCTGATTCCACCCACCATTGAAACAGCTTATTTAGTAATTCTGAAAATAAATAAAAATATGGAGGCATAAAGCATAGAGAAAACAAAAATAATTTGTCGTCCAAGTTGCAGAAAAGTTCAGTTCAAGTTAAATTTACTGTATGTAGCATTTCATGTTTTTTGATTTAAAGACTTATGGCATACTTAATTGACTGCGTTTGTCTGTTTGCGGTCATGCAACCGGAAATTAAAAAGTTCTATTGRGTAAAACCAACTCTAAATAAGGTTTTCAGTGCAGGCCTAAAATCCCAAACAACGCGTGAGTATTTTAYGTGTTTAGCAACATAACCAATGTATCTAAACATAATCATTAGCAACACATGGCAATTCACTACAGTTGAGAGAATACTCAATAATGAATACTCTCAAGCGCTTAGCGGCGCTCAATAAATACCGCTCACTTTGCACTGTTCTTTCCCAACGCAACGCTCTCTGTTCTTCGCTCATAATAACGATCGGCAAATACACAAAACACCGTTGTCCGATCAGTTAGTTGAAGCTTTTATTGTTATTGTTTACTTATTTTTTTGARATTTAGTCTTAKTTTGTATACAATACAAAGCTTGTGATTAATTAATTAATTCTTAAATTGCAACTAACGGGTTTAGAGTTTTWCAAAAAAAGCGAGTTTTATATAAATACATGTACATACATATGTGGGTACATGTGTCTAAATCATTGTGATTGTTAATGTTGCTTTTATAGTCGCATTTAATTGCGGTTTATACGATCGCTTTATATTTCAAGTTCAAGCTCGTCATATGTAYRTATGTATGTAYGTATGTATGTAAAAGTATTAATTACTGCAGGGACTTGGCAAAGGCAAGCACGCAATTACAAATGCTGGCGGACAAACAATAAAAATAAAYATTTAAATATTTTATTTCTGTCTGTTAATCGGTTTTATCATAAATTATTTATAATGCTAACRGGGCAATTGAAAAGTCTCCTGCCTGGCACATATGTAYRTACATATGTARATGGCGTTACTAGAATTAAATCCGTATGATTTTTAATTAATTTTGCCTGCAGAAAAGTTGAGGATGCTGCAAAAAGCCTTTGGGGGTCAAACTCTGTCTAAAAGTGTYCACAAGTGGTATAACGAGTTCAAAGCCGGTCGCGAGAGTGTTGCGAAAAATGTGGTGTCAATTCGGCCAAAGACATCGACTGATGAACATCACATCAAATAAGTCAAAGAAATTGCTGATAGCTTGGGCATATCATTTTTAAATACGAATTGAGCTTGGAGTCAAATCTTGAATGGTTCCAAAAACTCTAAATTTTTTCGAAAAAGAACGTCCTGTTAACATCTGCGAAACAATGCTTTCTGACTATCAAAACGTTATGAAACGCATCATAACTGGAGATGAGACTTGGATCTATCTTTATGATCCCGAAAAATCGATCAATTGAGCGAATATCGTGCTAAGCGCCAGCCGAAAGCGAAGAAATCAATTCAAGGTCGCTCAAAAATCAAGGTCATCTTGACAGTTTTCTTCKATTAACGCGGTGTGGTGCTTTATGAATTCCTTCCGCCGGGCCAAATTGTCCACAAATAATATTATTTGAGCCTTATGCGCCATTTTCGTTAAGCTATTCGCCTCTAGAGGCGAGAATTGTGGGCCGAAAACTCTTCGTTTTTGCACCACGATAATGCACCATCTCATGCAACATACATACATACATATAACCAATGTAAATGGTGATCATTTTGCCAAAAATTCAACAAATATCGTTCCGCATCCACCATATTCGCCTTATTTTGGCAAAGTGCGACTTTTGCCTATTCAACAAACTCAAAAGACCACACCGAGGACACCGTTTTGACACAAAATGYCGTCCTGAAATTCTTGCGCTTTAAGCAATTGCCTAACTTGCCTTGTATGGACGGCATGCCTGTGAAACATTAGTGCTGTTTTTAGTTACGTTMAACCAGGGACTACTGTACATTCATAAACGCTGAGCTATTAGTTTTGTTAACTGATAAGCATTGATATGGTTCCCAGTATACATAAGTACTTGATTAGTAAAAAAGAGATTTCAATAACATTCTCCCAGCAGATGCGTACCTGAAGACTCTCTCAACTTCACACCACATAGCTGGGTTTCGCATTGAATTTTTCAAGAACCCTAACAATCCTAGTGTCGACGAGATTCGTTTAACGAAATTATCACAACTATTGTTTTCAAAACTCCAACCAGTTTTGGATTGGTTCAGCTTATGGAGTAGGTACATTCGTATTTATGTATGTGTGTGCTCAAGATCTCGAATTTCCAAAGATATGTAAATGAGTGCTACAGTGAATATTATCGGCTTATGCAGCCGCTGTGTRTTATACGAATATGATAAGCGCGTATGGCCGAATACCTATGGCGGGAAAATTTACAAAACACTACATTTACATGCGTTTACTAAAAATGTTTTTATATCCTAAACAGAGCGTATTAAGTGTGCCAAGATGTTCGTAAGCCGGGGCCCTATAAAGAAGCTGCTTCTTTGTCGGAACCACCGATAACGGACCTTTTATTGCCATACAAAGTGAACTATCAGAAGCAAGTGTTTGTATGGAAAACTGTTACATTTGACGAGATATCTTCACGAAATTCGGCATGAAYTATTATCTAAAGCAGCAGTGCAAAATACGAAGAAATTTTTCAGATCGTATCACTATAGCATATAGCTGCCATACAGAGGGAACGATCATAATGAAGTTCTTGTTAGAAATGTGATCTATTTGTGAATAGTTTCTGTGCTACCAATCTCTTATTTATATATTCACTTTGCATACAAGCGATAGATTCTGTTTGAATAACAAGTTTCAGCGTTGAATGGTCAGTAAGTCTTCGATGCAACGGTTCATWTACTATGATTAGTATTTCTAGGTTTTCATCCGATATTTATAGCAAATTTAAATACTTTTGAATAGAAATAAATACGCAATACTTAAATTGATCTATGGTTGATTAAATAATTAAATAACATACATATCTAATGATATATAATGATGGTGTTATTAAACCGCATAAAGATTTTATCGAATAGAGGTTGTTCAGTATGAATTGCKGTGAATGCGGACAGTATTTATTACCGGACACCTCCCATAGCCGGACAAATTTTATAAACAGAACGTTTTTATTGATATTTTCATAGCAAACCAATTCCAATAACCGGATATGAGTGCGTTCCAATGATTGCACACGGACACTATTTGCTCGCATTTATTATTTCAATATAAATATATCTCTAAGAATACCTTTTAAACGCTCCCATATAATTATATACAGCTCCATTATCATTAGTATTATCAAAAAAACGTTAAACAAGTTTTTACTCATTGATAAAACTACATATATATGTATTTATGCCAGACAGCATAAAATAGATAATTTTGGCAAAACAATGACTTGCCAAAAAAGTGAACCTATTTAGAATAATAACTTCTTTTTTTACTAAGTTTAAAACGCAGTTAAGCGTCTAAAAAACGACAAAGGAGTTCAATTATTAAACGAATATAAGTTTACAACTTCTTTATTCTAAAATTAATTTAAATGAATAACCACTTGAGGAGGAATTTACACTGTTTTGTCGTTTCAATCAAAGATCGAATTAATGCCTTACCATATTTTATTTAATGAAATATTGAATAAAACAGAAATATAGTATAAATAAAGGTTTCGTAACTCCAACGTATTATCGCCGAGTCCAATTCATTTCACAAATATATGTACATATGTATGTTACATATAAGCAGCGGTGCTTTCCAACTTTTTTTCTCACTTTCTTACCACTTGGCGTTTTGCCCATTTGATGCGCATTTCCCAAAACTGGTAAAGCCGGCGGTCCTGGCAGCTTATTCAGCTGCTTGACTTTGCTATAATTTTTCACTTCCAAGTAGAGTATGGCAAGAATCGGTGCCAGCAAAACACTATACAACAACAACAACCACATCTTGAATTGCTACACACTTCTCGTATGAAATGAATGCACGTATTGTTAACGCTGCCAAGCAAAGCGTTGCGGAATTCGAAAACTCGTTTAAACTGTTAGAGACGAATGCCGATCGTCAACTGAATGTAGCTCTCCATGCGCGGCGGCATTTTAATATTCAAAAAACTCACAATTTTCAGCTAACTGATAAGACAAGAGCATTTGCTAGGCGCGACAGCCTAAAGGTAGGCAACGCTTACTTTCCGAAGGCCACAGTAAACACAGTGGAACAAGATCGGCGATCTCTAGGTGGATTCACTAGGCTGCATATGCGCAAATATGGCTAGAATTGAGCCAACAAAGTACCGTTGTAGAGCAAAATTTGGCTGAAATTTATTTGGTTGAACGGCTTTTCGATTTTAAGCCTTTTTTAAACATTTTTTCAGCCACACATGTTATTTTTAATGGTTGTTTTATAGCYATTATGTACACATGTGTTTGTATGTGCTGATATTCATACTCCATTAAAAGCGGCTGATTGCTAATAAATTTGGCGATACGTGAGCGAGTGYATTTTACATACAAAAACACCAAAAAAGTGATCAACAATTACTTTACTTTTAGTTTACGACGCATTCGATATCTCGTCGCGAAACAGGAGGATTAAAGAAATAGAGAAAAAAGAAAAGCGAAGTGAGCCTATTATAGGCCCTTTTCTCAATGTCTACTAGCTAGCAGCCAGTTAAGTTCYGGTCAAAAAAATTATCTTTGCCGAGAGAATGAATCTTGGTTCAGTTAACCAGAACTGACAGCTGACTGCTAAACAGATATTGATAAAACGGACCTAAGAGCAAATAATCCCACAATCAGATTTCATTTACTTTGAGTTTGAGACTTTTATTGTTTACAAATTGAGATTCTTACTCARAATGAACACAATGATGAGTTTATAATAACCGATATATTTACTATGCTTATGCTTGTTTAATATTAAATTRCGTTAGACCATTAGTGAGAAGCAATGGTTGCCTTGTTAAACCTCATACAAAGTGCTCGTTGGATAAATGTTAGATAAGCCTTCTTATCTGCAAGCGTATTGGCTCTTGGACTATTTCTACCATTGAACTAAACAAAAATTTCTTGAACCGATTATCAGTTGGCTGTCAGCTAACGCCAAGTTAAAGTCGTCACGTCTATTTCTCTGCAATTTTTTAACAATAAACATTTATTTACGCCTGAGGCTAAACTAGTTTGATTTTTTTGTTATAAAAAAGACGCGTATTTATGCTAATTCGATATGTATCTACTACTCTTCACAATATTCCTATTCACGCTAATAGCGTGGAAGGGCTTAAAGTTGCTTAACTATATTGATAATGTAATGGGCATAATGGAGATGATCCCAGGGCCAACGCCATACCCGTTTGTGGGCAACCTCTTTCAGTTTGGACTCAAACCGGACGGTAAGTAGCAGAAGTGACAAGCAAATTTACATAAGACATAATTGCTTAGAACATCATGCAACATTTATTAATAATCAAGTAATGTGTCAAAGTCCAAAGATTGGCTCAGTAAAGTTTCGCATGACACATACTCAGCGGCGCAGCGAAAAGTTAAAAAGCTTAGTCATTCAACACAACAACAAAATATCCCGCTCTTCACTTCTTCAGCTTCTTTTAGCTGGTGGTGGTGATGCAGAACATCCAGTCCGCWACTAATTGGCTTTTAATAGTCGCGCAATATTTCTGGCAGCTTAAGCGGTTATCTCCTCAACATCTGCCCTACACAGTTATTGGTGCAATTAATGTAAATCATTTATTACAGTTAATAATTTTGAACCCGATAAGGCAAGCAAAACAAATTCAAAATAAACATTTGTGCGTTCACTCCGACTCGAACGATACAGAGTTCATAATTGAGTGTTATTGTGATAAAATACCAAACTTTTAGTAAAAAGAAAACAGCAAAAAACAATTCACACTTTACTCCATTACGGGAGTTCTGCATTCTTTGACCGAAACAAATGKTTGACCGATGGTGCAAGATCAGGGCTACAAGGTGGATGCATCAAAACTTCCCAGCCAAGCACTGCAGCGCCATCAAAGATGTGTATGGTCTAGCGTTGTCCTGATGRTAGACGAASTMMTCTCTGGTGATCAGGYCGTTTATTTTGATTGCTTGCTTTAATATCAWCAGTTGTTGACGGTAAAAAGTAGAAACAGTCGTTGGACCAGGCTGGAGCAGCCCACCAAACACTCAGCATAACCTTTCGACGCGTCAATACTGGCCTTGACCCATTTGTCGAGCCGAGCGAGCTGGCGAACATCAACTTCATAACTAAAATGTGTTTTAGCTCCCTAATCCTAACATTTAAAAGGTAACCTACGTATGTGTATTTTTTATTAAGCCCACATGTAGTAATCACACATCTTAAAAAATACTTACCTTTTAATCTGTTTCAATACCTTTTTCGGTAAGAAACTAAACCTAAACTTTTTTAAAGCCAACCAAATCCAAGGTTTGCAGCAAATCCCTGTTACTCTAACGGATATGTGACAAAATAAGACAAAACACAAAAATACAAAATATAATAATCTACGTTACTTATGGAAATTCGGTAATTTCTTTGCAATGCTACCTACAACAAACACCAATGAGCATTTTAGCCCGAAGAGGCTCTTTATCTTAAGCAACCTTTGTTAAAAATGCGCAAAATTCCATTTCGCAAAAAAAAAATGTTACAAAGCTTATTGTTACCTCTCGGTTTATGAAATTTACGGGGTTCACAAATAAATGGCGTAATCAAACTTGCACAGGCACCCAAATGAGTATGTAAGCTCATATGCTTCGGCAGGAATTTCAGCAACGCAGCGCTTAAAACAATTTATTTGCCCTTTTTACTTGCAGAATATCCAAAGAAGATTTTACAGTATTGCCGGAAATATGACTTCCAGGGCTTCCGTTCGGTGGTGTTCTTCCARTATCATGTCATGTTGAGTGATCCGGCGGAAATTCAAGTAATTTCATTTGCTAGTGCCCATAAGTCATGACACACACACACGCACTCACATACATACAAGCATACATGAGCCGCATAAAGGCGATGACACTTCACGCGTTTCACCAGCCCCAGCTACATTAAGCCCAAAAACAGCACATTTGTAATCACGCAGTCTTAATTCCTCAACGAAGTGTAGCAGCTTTCATCTTTCGAAGAAATTCCTGCCCTCATTTTGTACATGCATTCACCACACATACATTTACAGCACCTGAAATTCATTATCATTTACAACTACTTTGATTTACTGTTATTATTATTATTATTTTGCGCTCGCTTACCACAGAACATCCTCTCGAGCTCTACGCTGCTGTACAAGGAGCACCTGTACTCCTTTCTGCGTCCTTGGCTGGGCGATGGCCTTGTGACCGCCGCAGGAGCGCGCTGGCTGAAGCATCGCCAAATCTATGCGCCRGCATTCGAGCAGCAAGCAATTGACGGTTATTTGCAGGTGGTGCATCGTGCTGGTAAGCGTTTAGTGCAGAAGCTCTCAGAGCGCGCCACTGCAGCCGCAGATGGCGTGCCGAAAGTCTTGGACGTGCAGCCACTGTTGGGCAAATGCACCTTGGATATCGCTGTTGGTAAGTTTGGCTTGTTCACTCTGGAGGKTGTTGGCTAACAAGAAATCTGTTGATATTATTTTGTTAGTTTTGYAAAGTACAGGGTTTGTCCGGAAAGTAATAGGACTGAATTGCTTCTGTCGCGACTATATAGTACTTCGGAGTATGCGCGCACCGACTGAATTTGATATAGTTCGTTCCTTGCTAACGAACGAGCGGGTGGCCAGTTGTCTCCGAGCACCTGGAGAGTTAGGACTAACATTTCGCGCGACGTGTTTTTATCARTGGTGCAAGCCGAAAATGCAGCGTTCGTTAGAGCAAAGTTTCGCGATAAAATATTGTGTGAACCTCGGTAAATATGCGACAGAGACGTTTGTTATGATCAAGCAGGTTTAACCAGATGTTTCTTTAGCAAGAAGATGGCACCAGGCCTTTTTGGAGCGCCGGAAAGAAAGTAAATCGCTGCTCATCGTCTTTTTTTGACATCGTCCACCATGCATTTGTTCCTCCTGGATTTAGCCGTCAAACACCAAGTTTTAAGTGGAAGTTCTCAAGAGACTCAAACGAAGGGTCAATCGGGTCCGACAAGATATCGCAGACGATTGGAAGTTGCACCCAGGCTCACACCGCCTTTTTTGTGAATAACTACTTAACCAAGGGCGGCATCCCAATGCTTCCGCAACATTGATGTGGCCCCCAGACTTTTTTTTTTTTTTGTTTCCTTGCCTGTTAAGGCAGATGAAAGGCAAGCATTTGGAGATGATAGAGARTATCCAAGTAGCATGCAAGGCTATGAGTGCCTTCGATGATGTCTTCAATGCTTGGAAATCTGGCTGGCAGCGCTGCATCGACSCATAAGGAGCCTATATTTAAAATTGAAAATAWTTGTAACGATTGGTTCAATACATTTTGTAAATCGACTCAGTCCTATTACTTTCCGGACAATTACTTTCCTGCATCTAGTCTACCCTTATCATACATAAACAGTCTAAAMGCGCTAACGTTTCTCCTCCACAGAAAATGCTACAGGCATACCTAGTTTCGAGCTGAACGACGGCAAAACCGAGCTGCACGCTGCAATTAWTGAGTAAGTCTAACGGTTTCTCGCTCACACACTCGCTATTTCATCATTGCCAGTCTTCATGTAGCGCCTCACCCAACACTGACTTTCATTTTCATTATTATATTTTCAATCTATCGCAACACTGTGACACGAAAACATCTGTCGCCCAATCGAAACTGTTTTCATCCAATTATTTCGGTATTAAATGTACATATGCATGTGTGCAGACTTGTATGAGCACACTCCGACACTCCGCCACTCGTACACAAACGGTATATAAATATTATATTTTCCCGCAGCCTCTGCGACGTGATAAAGGAGCGTACATTCAGCATTGTAAAGCGCTTTGACACGCTTTTCCAATTAACGCCACATTATTGGAAACAACRCACCGCGCTGAGCACTCTTGAGCGCGTAATTAACAAGGTAAAAAGGGATATTTATGTACGGCCGTTGGGGATATTTTGTATTTATGATTTTATTGAAAAATGATTGTGCTGTGAAGTAGTAAATTCAATGAATGGGATTTGYCATTGAGCAATGACCGTCAAATGAGAATATTTCGCCATTGAAATTGCATTTCCAGGGAAGCCTTTTTGTTCAGCCAAATATATTTATTTGTAAGGGATTAAGCAAAAAGCTCACCAAAATAGACAAAGGTGTCGGGRCACAGAACAAAATCGGTTATAATGCCACCAGATTACTGAAGTTTCACCTCCCGTTCTTGAAAGATTCCTTTTCTCGATCTCGGGCTCGGTCTCTTAAAGCTTAAAAGCTTTTGCTTGGGTGCCACCTGCTGGTGATTACCGCACACCTACATAAACAACTACATTGGAAAGTGCGTGTTTAAAAATTAAKAAGAAAAACGTTTTTGCTGAGCGTTTGGCGGCCGTCTTCCGCAAAATGTCCTACCCAAGCGCTGAAATTTATCTTTGGTGGAGACAGCAGGTGACACATGGGCATATATAAGCAAACATACATACATGCATATATACATATAAATATGTATATGCGAGGGCAGAGATATGCGCTCTTTCAACTTGAAAATGCAATATGCGAAAAATGTTAATTGAGTGCACTTTGCCCACCGTCAGCGCCATTTCAGCTGGCGCAAATATTGCGCGTGTTATATTTTCCGATTTTATTACGTTTTTTTGTTTTTTTTTTTTTTTGTTTTTGGTGTAAATATGTATTTTTATATCTCGAATTTTAATTAAAAGATTGTCGATCAACGTCGCGAAAGTCTGCAGGCGTCTGCGGCTCAGCAAGCGCACCAGCAGCCAGGCGTTCGGGAGCAGCAGCCGGCAACCAGCACAATGCTGCGTCCATTTCTTGATGTGCTCTTGCAGGCGAAGCTGGATAGGCGTGCGTTGACCAATAAGGAAATATTCGAGGAGCTCTCCACATTTATATTTACGGTAAGTATGGTAACAGCAATAAGTATGAGTGTGTGCACCTTGTTGAAAGGTTGGCAGCAATTTGAGTTAAACTATTGTTGCCTGTGTGCAATTTATTGCATTATTTATAATGGAATATTGACTTAAATTAAAATCGCATCCGTTTATTTTCACTGTTCGGGAAATTGAAGAAAAAAAAAATTTAGAATACATGCTGCCACATTTATTTTCTTGTATGCATAAACAATTATGGAAATTCCTATATTTTTGAGARCCAAAATATGTTTAGTCGAAAAAGTCTTTTCGTATTTCTAATCGAACTTTAAATATTTTTTTTTTATATTTATAATGAACTTTATTGAGCAACTATGTACCATTTTGGTCCACTACTTTTTGCCATTTTGCCGCTAGAGACATTATTCCATCAATTAATTTTCCCAGGCTTCTCTTGAAGCCAACTTTACTCCATTAAGGAAGTTCTGCATTGACCAAATGTCAGTCCGTTGGTGCAAGATCAGAGCTATATGTTGGATGCATCAATACTTCCCACCCGAACTCTCTCAGTTTTTGCCGAGTCATCACAGATGTGCGTGGTCTAGCGTTGTCTTTATGGAAGACGGAGCGCTTTTTGTTGATCAGTTATGGCCGTTTTTTTCGATTGCTTGCTTTAATCTCATCAGCTGTTGACAGTAAATCTCATAAATCACTTTGGCTTCGCGACCATTTTTTGAGCTTGGAACATAATCTTTTTCGCACATTATTGYCGTATTTGATCCACTTTTCGTCTCTTGTTACCATTCGCTTCAGAAATGGTTCGATTTCATTTCGATTCAGCAAAGAATCAAATTTGGTAATTTTGTCCATTAAATTTTGCACAGACGATTAAATTAACCAATTAATTAATTAAATGAAGCTTAATATCTCACATTTCCAACCCTATATGTTCTGACACAATGTGATTGGTAGTACTRGAGATATATGACTTCAACGACATCTATTAACAAAATAGGAAAAGACTTTTCGACTACYAAATTGCCATAAATAGCCTTATTCAATTGAAGGGTAATTATTTAGCCCGAAAAATACATACGTATCCTCCTCACAACACAGCTAACGCTCAAGGTCAAATAATTTTTTGCACACGGGAACATAACTGCACCGCATCTGCGCTCTCTTTTACACTGTACGTCCTTTCTCGACACGCAGCCGTTCAAGAGAAGCTCTACGCCGARCAGCAACGCATTTTCGGCACTGAAGCAGCCGCGCAGTTGGCACGTGTGCCCAGCATTGAATGTGCACATTTGGAGCAGATGTGCTACTTGGAGTTTGTAATACGCGAGACATTGCGTCTGTATCCGTCGGTGCCATTAATTGCACGCACCAATCGCAAGGCAATCGATATCAGTAAGTGAAGAGCCGTAAACTGGCGAAAGTGTTGGCSYGGTTTCGCCTACGCGGCCGCAGTCGGGCGTACATTGTTTATGGCTTTTACATTGTCGTCTCTTTATTATGCTCTGCTTTGATAGATGGTACCAAAATCGCCAAGCGCACAACCGTTATTATGTGCCTGATAGCCATGGGCTATAATGAAAAGTACTTTGACGAGCCGACCGCATTTCGCCCCGAACGCTGGCAGCATATCAATAAGGACGAGGCGGCGGGTCTGCAGGCCTTCAATAGCGTGCCTTTTAGTGCCGGACCAAGGAGATGCATTGGTAAGTCGTTGAATGTTTGTCACTTCGAGTGCGGAATGGAGTGTAAATAGCTCAGTGCGTAAAGCGTATATAAATGAAAGTGTCTGAAAAAGATTTTGTATTTCATGGCTTTTTCTTATACCATAAATTGAACWAATATCGTCTGTCATGTCTTCTATTGTATTGCAAATGCCGTTCCAATCCTCTTTTAMAGCCGAAAAGTATGCCATGTACGAACTGAAGTCGCTGCTCTCAATGATTTTGCGTAACCTGGAAATTTTACCGGCCAAAGATGGCCTGCCATCGGGTATCAACGATCACTCACGCTTGGACTGTGCGCCACAGAGTGAATACGATCCCATACTGAATATTCGCGTGACGCTTAAGTCCGAGAATGGCATACAGTTGCGACTGAAAAGACGAACGAACGCCGATAAGTAARCAAAATGGAAAGCAAAAGCGAACGCAACTTTCAGGCGACATAAATTTCTTTCAAAAATATAGAGCATTGTTCTCAAGCAAGGTTATGTTGCTATATACTATACGTAGTAGACTAAATATTTTCATTAAGCATTTATTTTTATAGCAAAACTGTAAAATYATTAAAATCTAAATAAAGTGTGCTCAATAAATTCTGCGTCTCAGACGTATATACAAGCCGTTAACAGATTTTAAGGTTAGAAAGAAGCCCAGCCGCGCATCATATGGATTGTCAATCTTGTCACCGCGATCTGCGGGGTTATGTATGCCTGTGGATAGTCCATCCACTGCCGGCAATATGTTGAAGTGTCGGATGATCTTCGAAAGAGTTACTTTCAATTCCATCATGGCGAATTTTTGACCTAATAAAATGAAATAAGTCAATGTGCTCAACTTTGTGTAGTGTATAATTAGAGACCTATGCAATTCCTCGGACCCGCGCTGAACGGTATATAGTCGTAGGGATTACTACTGTTGCGATTTTCAAAACGTTCCGGCTTAAACTCAAACGGTGCCGGAAAGTGTTGGGGATTAGTACCCATTGCTATAATACAAAAGCCGAGCGAGGTACCTGGGGGAATTTGAAAACCGCCTAAAAAGAKTCGTGTACAGTTGGTGAAAAAGTAGCACAACGGGATCAAGTTAAGTTTGACAATCATATTCATAATGTATAAAAAATAATCAAATGTTCAATAAAATCACCGACTACTCACCGATTTCAGTTTGCTCCAACAAAGTACGCACAATGAATGGCACACTGGGAAACAGTCGCAGCGTCTCTTTAATAATCAGCTCCAGATACTTCATGTCACTCAATTCTTGAAAAGTTGGGTTACGTTTAAGATCTGGGACACACTGGGAAACAGTCGCAGCGTCTCTTTAATAATCAGCTCCAGATACTTCATGTCACTCAATTCTTGAAAAGTTGGGTTACGTTTAAGATCCTTGCCGAAAATTGCAAATTGTTCTTGGTAGGCGCGGCGCTGTACTTCTGGATGCCGTGACAAACAGTAAATGGCGAAGCCTATGGCGCTGGCAGTGGTGTCGTGGCCCTAGAAAAGGAAAACGAAGTTCGCTGCTCAGATTAAACCCTACCAGATATGCAACAAGCAGAACCTCAAACATAAATGTGGAGACTTCCTCAAATATATCTTGGAATGTCAGAGGCTTGCCATCTACTTCTGCTGTTAGTAAGTTATCAAGGAATGCCATTTTCGGACGTTTGCCATCTACATCCAATTTCAGCTTATTTTGGTCAAGCGTCTTCAGCATCTCACGCCGTTTGTCAATGATCTAATATGAGTCACAAAAAGTTTTAAAACCAAATTCYTCAACAAATTATGTGCCGAACATGTGCAGAACATACCTGGGAAAATTCTTTACGCAAGATCGCTAAGGCTTTTTGCTGTTTCTGATATCCTCTGGTCCAAACGAAGAAGAAATCGAAACGATTTAAAGCGCTAAAGATCCGTTGGCGCATCACATCGCAGATGCTGCAGATCGAACATTATTTTAAAGAGATTAAAGTACTTAGGTAACAACTTACTCAGCAATCGCAGGTACTATTGGAGACGTGGGACCCTGTATGGCATTTACTGATGTGCCCATGGCGGCTTCTAAAACATTCAGACAAAATGATTATTGTTTTATAAAGTTTATATGGCAGTCGGTTTCACCCACCGCATATGACATCAATCGTGGAGCGTGTGACGACTTCTTGAAAATCGAACATTTCCACCTTCGTTGCAAAACCCGTGAGCAGCTCCACGAAGCGATCGGTGGTTTCGTTCATAATTTTAAGAAAATCTTGCAGTATAGCAAAATGGAATGAGGGCGTGATCATTTTTCGATGATTAATCCAGTGTTTGCCATTCGCGGTGAGCAAACCTTGGCCCAGCCAAGGATAAAAGAACTTATAGGGGTCATATTTGTATATAAACTCGATACTAGATAGCACTTGCTGAAATAAATTATAAATATTTTAATAAAAAAAAGCTTTAWCACTTTGAAACTACTTTTGAAAACATCTGTGGACCGAAGTTARAGCAATGATGGCTTTGTGTAGGTTCTTACTTCCGTAGTTTTGGGATTTGTAATCATCAAGTAGGGTTGAGCGCCGCCGTACACTCGCACCAAGCCGTAGTTGTAGTCATGTGCCCAACGTCTTATCTGTCTCATATGCTCTATGGGAATACAACAGAAATCAGGAGTAATTAAAGCTATCAACAGGAATCTTGCATGATTAAACTCTAAGCCTAGCTTTATTGTATGTATTGTAAGCTGTCAGTTTCTCTTGGAACAAATATGCGAATTGTAAGAGAGTATATTTCAGCAAGCAACTGAGAGCAATAGAGAGTAAGAATCGTAAGGTTACAGAGCATAAGCCAAGACTCTACCGACATTTTCATCGAAGAGAGAGACCGAATTGATTTATAACAGAATCCAAGTCTCTTTCGGTAGTTTTGGTAATGAGAAGAGAGTGGCTGTAAAGAGAAGCAGGCGAGTATGTACACGTATTTACTAACAAACCGTTATCAGAAGAAGCGATGAAAACTTGACCTACTAATCGAAGCATTCTAAGGCTCAACGTGAAAACCATATATTCTCCCCTTTCATGTTTCGCAGTTATCATTAACTGATTAATAAACGTATGTATGTAAATAATACCACATAATAATAAACCCTTCTTCGGATTACTTTGTGAAATAAGTATATATTTTATTTTGAAAAA